AGAAAATTACAGTAAAATGTTAAATTAAATACAATACATGCAATATAATTTAATACAGTAAATATGAAACGTACTTTGCACATGAAATGTATAATAATAATGTTAATATATTGATATGTTGTATTATATATTACGTTACATTATTATATTGTGTTACATTGTATTTATTATATTATTATATTGTATTGTACTGTATTATATAAAATGTGTATACAGGATAATTCACAATAAGTACTGAATATTAAAAGTAAAAGTGACTTTTGAGCGGAAGTGTGTATCATCTCCTCTTTAACTTCATGTTAAACCGCAGATTTACTATGCAAGCTGATATTTGACTATTGAAGCTTGTTTTAGAGGTAGAAAATGCACGATTTTGTTAACAATTGTTTGTTTGGCGTCGATATCCAAATGGAAAATAAAAAAGATACATTTTCGTCGAAAAAAGAATTCTCTGTGTAAGCTCATAAAAAATTATGTGTACGGCGAAGAAGTCTTCAAATTATGGCAGTGTCAGAATTTGTTTCCTGAAAGGAGATATCAAGTCATTTTTTTTTTTTTTTTGTCGAAAAAGAATAAGAACTTTTTTGTTCTAACAATCGTTTTCTCCTGCGAACAAATGAAATTTTATCTCGACAATCCGTGGTCATTGAGGGTTAACTCAGGTATACTCGTGCGTTTACACGCGTTGGATATCGCTGTACTTCTATCTCATCCGGCGTGTACTTGGCGCGTTCGACACGCGACAAACAAGATACGCAGCGCAGTATCGGTTCGGCGATTTCGCGATAGGCGCTGGCAAATATTACCTCTAACCTGATAAGCGTTTCTCTCCTTATCGATTCGGGCACAGTCGAGCAGGGGTGGTTTCGCATCGTTAACGACGCCCTGTTACTCGGTTTTATCGCCGCTTGCGTGAAAACTTCACGCCTCGTTCTACTCGCGAGAGAAAACTGTTGTCGCACGGTGTGATTTAAGGGAGCAGTAGTTTCCTCGAGAGATAGGAGGGTGAAATCAGCGTCGATAAAGTGCTTTTCAGTACGATAGTTTATCGTACTTATCAGTTTATCACTACGAGGTGATTGTTAATAGGTTCTAGATTTTGGCTACGGTGATTTTGGGGGGGTTGAGCAAGGGATAAGCAATTCGCGATATATTCCAATCACTTTAATCATTAGCAATCTAATGGAAGAATAGAAATTCTACTGTACAAACTTTTCAATTATATTTTGATACGTGTGATTAAAAAAATTGTTTGTATCAAACTCTCTCGAAATCCCCCTTCCGGGGGGGAGGAAGCAAACCGCGAGAGCCCGTGATATTTGCAGAAACGTTAATTTTCTCATCGCTCTTTTCGCGGGAAATCCTCTTTCCACGCGTTTTCAAAATAATGCTGCTTAAACTTTTACCGCGGCCTGAGCATTTTTGTTAGAGCCCTACGAAAGCGTCTACGAGAGAAACAGGAACAGAGTACGCGCGAAAGGGGTGAGAGAAAGAACAGGATATATGTATAGGGTGTCGCGGGAAGCCCAGAAGAGGAGGAAGAGGTAGAGGAGGAGGAGGAGGAGGAGGTGGAGAACTATTTCAGCTTTTACGAGGCCGTCGTGGCGTATCCGTTTTGCGGGGTACGACGTGCAAAACGATCGATAACACGCTCGTAACGTTATTACCGACAGGTATACGGAGGTGGGTAGTGGCGGTACTACCGGTAATAATGTGGCTTTTACGGTCGTGGGCGCTGGTACAGCTGCCGCCAAAGTCGGTAAGCGTGGGTTTCCCATCGGGCTCTCAAATGCCGGAGCAGCAACCGAATTTGCGCCGCTATTTCCGCCCAGTGGCTGGCTGACACTCTCTCCCTCTTTGCGCTCGCTCTTTCACCGGGAGTAAAAGCTAGAGACCGACTCCCTTCCAGCCGGATACTACGTGGCGCGTGGATCTTTATCGATCGCGGAATGCGCCGATCGCCGCGAGACCAGTCGTGGTAGTGGTGTGTGTGGTGTTTTCTGGCCGAAAATCTGGCTCACGTTTTTCCTCTATTCCTCGCCGGAACGAGAACACATTTTCGTCGAGAGTGCAACGCTCGTGTTTCACGTTCGCTTTCTTTCAGCTTCCATCTTACTAAATAAAACTGTTTCACATGTACACCTAACGCTAAAACTATCGACGATCGACGATCAGAGATGTTTGAAGTAAGAGATATGGAATACGAAAAACTCATATTTACATATCTTACGTGAAATCGTTTGAATCTTTAATAATACACTGTTTTACATTTGTAAAAGAAATCGAATAAAAATTATTAATTGATCGTTAATCGTAACACATTTCGTATCGCACTTGGCGTGCCCAACCTGCTCCCAGAGTCCGTACATTTTTGGAGCAACAGGGAAACTTTGTACAATACATGCACTTTTTTAATTCACAATAGTATATATATATTTCTTTATAGCAATATTTAAGAATTTATTTATTATGCATTTTAGATTTTAACTATTACTTATTTTATACTTATATCAACAGATTGAGGACGGTATGCTCCGATAAACATGTAGCCTGTATTTTCTCGTATTTTTTGAATTATTTAATATATTCAATTAAGAAAGGGTTTAATAGAATGTATAGCATTTAACAAGTGTATTATTTTATTAATAATTAATCTGGCAATTGACAAAGGAGACAACAGCGACAATAACGAATTTCAGTTCAGACGTTATCAGCGCTCGTTCGATAAAAATTACTATACCATCTGTCTCTCTAGAAATATCTGAACTCGACGCGAACGAAACGATAGAAGCTTCTCGACGTCTCTCGACGATCATTCTCCTCGTTTTTTTCCTTCTCTCGCTCCCACTCTTTGTTCTTCCACCCCAGTCGAAAGCCAGTTTAATTATTAATAGAGCCGGAGGTGCTTCGATGCCGCTAATTAACGACAATTACCAGGCGATTATACAAGCTGCAGCGGGGCTCGATTATCATCGAAAGTAGTACGACAGCGGTCTTTGCCGTCTTGACTCTCGGATGTACGGGTTTTACGAGAAAATCCTCTCGTTTCCCTCGGCTAGGGAGGGAACAATGTTTCTCGCGGTCGGCGAGAGTCGATTCCTATCTAAAGTGTTTCCCGGGTCGTCTTTCTTTCTTTCCTTTCTGCCCGCGTGCGAGCTTTTACGAGCTGCTGAAGCCCGTCGCGGCTAACCGTGTACCACAGCTTTAAACTGGAGGCATAATCAGCGAACGGAAGCCAAAGCAGCGGCACGATTTCCGCCGCTTATGCCAGGCTACTTGCGTCTGTATGCGTGTATGCCGCGTGCACGCCTCGAGGCGGCTGCTTACGTGGGCCGTGACAAGTGCATCCGGCACATCGAAGGATTACCGTTCGTTCCGTACGCAATCACGACGTCCGATTACGCCTTGAAAATGCTCGGGAATCCATTCATTCCCCCCTCGGCTATATTTGCTGGAAGATACCGGCGAGAGAAGGATCGTTGTCTGGACTCTCCGCGATGTGGCGACGCCGTGAAATCAGTCACCGGCGAAATTAACTCGTTACGAAGCAAACAAGCGGTTTTGTTACAACGTTAGGTATACTTAAGTAAATTGTCGGGACGAGATTATCCTCGGAATCATTGAAAAATGAAATTTGATAACGCGTGTTATCATTATTGTTTGATAATGCACGTAATATGATACATAATCGATGATAATGTCTATTTCTCCTATTCGTTTCTACTTCTGTAAATCAATTTTAAATCAATTGAAATCAGATAACATGAATAATATAGTTGAAAACGAAAAATTATATGATATCTCACGGAAATTAAATATTTTCTAACGCACACAAGACGCGTGAAAAATATTTAATGGGCTGATTGACGAAGGGACCAAGGACTCGAGATTCAATTCAAAGCCAGTCGTTACTTCATACGATTTGTGATTTTTAGTGAAACTTGCTTAATGTCCTTCCAATTTCTCTAATTTGGGAATGTTTATTACGAGTTTGACAGGGAAAATAGCTCGCTGCTTCTAACTGCTCCCACTGGATTTCCTAAAACCTCGTCTTCGTCGAATTCTCTCGCGAGTTACACGTTCTCGCGCGATCGATGGAAATTGCGAGGCACGAGGAAGTATTTTTCCTGGCACACCTTTCTCCACACGTCGTCGGGGGTTCGCTCGGTTGCAAACAAGATCAGAGTCGTTTAAGGGTAACCTTTTAGTCGTCTATCGGTTCGAGGGCTTCCTTTTTCATCGTCGATGCTCTCTCTACATTGGCTCGCGCGGGAAAGTGCATTATACATCAGAGGTTCGAAACCTCTGACGGTAGGTCGCAAATGAATTGGTTTATGAGAATTTGATAAGGGTCAGCTGTTACGTGTCGCTCCTGTACATCAGGATTTTCATTCTGTCGTTGTCCTACGATATTTCTCTTTAATCAATTTTTTTCGAATAGTTCTGTACTCTAGAACCTGAGACGAATTTTATCGAGAATGAACAAATATATATATATATATCATAGACACACATTTTGCAGGTGATTCTGTGAAAAAGAATACAGATTAAAAAACACTTGAGGCAAGTTTCACCGTTTCAAATTTGTCAATTTTGCCCGATGAATGACTGCTTTCATCGAGCAAACCCTTATTTCCCTGTTCTACGATAAAATGCAAACGCAAATGCGGCGCACAGCTAAATGCATATCTAACTAACGATACTACAAAACTACACTGAAACTATTGTTCCACACTCGGGCAAATGGTATTTGACTTTGCGCGCGCAGGTACGGTTACGCCGTGTAATTATGTTCGTTCATTTGGCACGTTATACGGTGCAACAATACGTACGTACGTTTCACAGTTTTACACCGGGTTTATCGCGTGAAAATTCGTTCTTTCATATTTGGGAACGATTTCTGCGTACGGAGCAGAAATGCCTGTCGACCGAGCAGCAAAAAGTACTGTCTCGGTTTCGGAGCCGATTTTTACCGCGTTCTTTTATTTGGTCTGTTTCAGGGTCCACCGCAGCCCGGCCAGCAATATAAATTCTCGATCGGCGAGTTGTGCGATCGTATCAAGGAGGACTTCAACTTTCTTCAGACGCAGTATCACAGGTAAAGGCCTTTTGGTTTCTTCGATCGATCGTAAATCAACGCGCCCCTCCGCCCGTGGTCCTCGATCCGCCGAGCGGATTCTTACGACTGGAAAACACGTGTAACACGTTTTCTCGGTCGAGCTCGCGTCTGAATATTAAATTCACGACGGCCGACAGTGTCGCGGCAATAAAAGGCACGCGTGTCTTATAACTTCGGTTGCAAATTAAACCGGGGAAGGTTGCGCGCCCGCGGTTTAACGTTCCTTTCCGTTCGTTTCTCGTCCCTGATCGACCGTCGTCGTTCGGCGAGATACATATCTGATCGCTATAAGGCACGTAGTATCGCTTGTAATTATCCGCGCGAGCGGTACGCTGTCGGGAGAAATTACGTCGCATGTACGAAATAATAATACGGTTGTCAGTCGTAAATTAAGCAAAAATGTCGCGCCGCGTGAATTATGCCCTTTATCGTTCGTTAAGATGCAAGATAGAGGAGGGCCCGGGTATATGCCGAGGAATTCAATTTTAATGCTTGCAATTTTCGCGGTGTTGCGTTACGTTTTAATAATCGTTTAATTTAGTTTGTAATGTTCATTTTGTTTTACATTCGTTACCGAGCCCCGAAGTAACGGAGAGAAAGTATTCGAATAATTGTAAACGACGTTCAATTCTCCGTGATATCGAGGCGGAGTGAATTCATAATTGTTGCGGGCAGTGTGTTGTTTGGTTCGAGAAGAAATGAGAGAGATTAGAGCGAAGTAAAACTCACATGCAAGTATTGTCAGATTCGATTAATATTACCAGAGTTATGCTATTCTAAAGTCGTCTATCGGCAGAATATGAAATTACTTTTCACTCAACCCAGTATATATCTTTATAGTATAGTACTTATCCTTGTGTGATTAATCGTACAGTAAAAATCACACATAAGTATTGTCAGATCCGAGTAATATTACCAGAGTTATGCTAAAGTCGTCTATCGGCAGAATATGAAATTACTTTTCACTCAACCCAGTATATATTTTTATAGTATAGTACTTATCCTGGTGTGATTAATT